ACTAAGTTATTAGTGCCCCAAGATGCCAACTAGAAGTGAAAGAGCCTCTCAATCAAAACAAGAAGCACCCATCAGCAGTTTTTTGGGGGTTTTTTTGTTTTGTTTTTCATTTTTGAAGCCGTTCTCCTTATTTACAGGAAAACCGTAAAAAAAAAATAAAATTCTAAGCACTCAATATCTGATAAAGTTTTCTCTGGAGAGGTGGGACGGTGTGTATGAATATTCACTTCCAGGAAAAATCCTAGACATCATTCTTTACTAAACAAGATTCCATAACACACAGTGAAAGTTAGTTATGCAAAGACAGTAAGAAGATGAGGACTCCTTCTCCCTACTGTTCCCAGGCATTAAAAAATGCAAGTAGTCAGGAAAATCAACTTCATTTGAGCGTGCCAGTAGTACTGACTTAACATGCACTCTCTGCTGAGTTAGAATATCGCTTCAGATCACTCCAGTTGATAACAGTTTGCATTAATACCCCTCTTCATTCTGCTATATCCAAGTATAATTTACGCTGAGGCAGCGTAAGCACAAAGTTTTAATTGCAGAAAGGCCCTGGTATCTGGGATGAGTCTGCTGATGACTCAGCTGGACTTTCCCTGCCTCCTCCCCAACAGGGAAGGGTAGGAAATGTCAAAAGAATGCATTTAGGCTGAAGAGAGCCAAGAGTTATCACGGAAAGCCAAGTCACACACCCACAGGTAAACAAGGCAGAAGAAAACTGGTAGTGAACTGGTAACACAAAACAAAAACCTTCTCCAAAAGAGGCTGGGCACCTTAACACGGTATTCTTCAACCTTGGCAGCAGCTGTAGAGTCCTACCATTTAATCTAGTATCGAAGCTATTACCATAACTGTTTGTTGTTTAAGAATTCCTATATTTGATTATAAAGAATGCAGATCACATCATGTTTATGGTACACACTTAATGAATAGGGCTCGAAACTTCAGCCTACACAGTAGCCAGCAGCTACTGTAAACAAAAAGTTCCATAGAACAAAACGCCCAGCATAGTTTATTCTTGGCAGAAAAACCTCTTACACTCAAATGCTTTCAACGATTTTTGAAAGTGCTGATATTTAAGAGCAGCTATACAGTATCAGAGTCCCCCTTCCCAAAGGCCTATCTAACCTGATATCCGTTCTCTAATAAGTCTGTGGAAGAGTAGAAGAACTAAATACACATATAAAGGAGATGTATCTTGAGAATGAACTCTGCTACTTGTTTATGGCACTGGTCTGCTGAGCCAAGTGTGGTGTCTTCATATTTATCCAACCCTGATGCATTTTTCTATACTATGCTACAGTATATCCTATTCTATGCTGAGATCAGCATCTTAACGTGCTGTTTTGAGCTTGCCACCTGACAATATGCTGAACACCCTTGAAGTATCCAGGAGACAAACAACCTCCAAGCACCCATATTGCTCACAGTTTCAAAACTGCATCTTCCCTTCTCCCCAAACCATCACTTGCTTCCCTTTAACTACTGCTTATTTACTGAGGCCTAAAGAAAGGACCCAGAGCTGCACAGCACTTGCCACGTAGGCATACCATGCACATATGCACAACACAACAGCAATCTGTGTTCTGCTCTCCACTATTTCTATAGCAATGCCTACTGCTCTGTTTCTTGGACTGTCAGAGCACATTTTCAGATAGTCATCCAACAACCAGGATTCTGTTCCCAAGCAGAGATCTTTGTTAGACATTCAAACTGCCCAAGCATTATGCCTTGATTTACACAGCTTACAGCCAAGCAATTGATGCTCCTGTCCATTTAGCTTCATCACTGCAGGCTCCACCTCACCCCTGCACTTGGCACTCAGTTTTGAGCACATTAAAGACAGCAGCAAATTTTGCATTTGACTTTCCACTCTTTTCCACGTCATATATGAATATTTTGGAGGGCAGAAGCTCACCAGCCCAACACAGATACTCCCCCTTTGAAAACAAACAAGCTGCTCCTACCCTCTGCTTTGTACTTTGGCCAAGCAACTGGCCACCACAGAACCTGTCTCCCCACCCCACAGCCTTTGCTGAAGTACATTCCCAAAACAGGACTTGAAAATCAAGCACATCTACTGAACGTCCCAACACGACGGTGGTGCATGTAAATATCTATAACTCTACTGAAGCCAGGAAATCACTGATAACAAGGCCCTATTAACCACATCTAGCTCTTAGCTATTAATCTAGCCCTGCTAAGTTGTCAATCACCAGCTGTACCTCTCAGCCAAAATAAGTAGCAGTTTTGAACACACAGAGAAATAAAGAACTCTAGAATCGACACAGCAATTCTTTTCAAGTTAAAAGCAAAAGAACTTCACTTTCCTTCCAACATATCTAAAAACAAAACAGTAATTTGGTTAACCACAAGTATTACAGCCTTCCCATGATAAGGCTAGCTTTAAATCACTGAAAAATAATTACTAAGATGGCTTCTGTTGATTTAAAAATACACAGTGATTTTCATTTACCGCCTAAATTCATTTTGTTGATTCATTTTATACAAATAAAATCAAACCAGTCATTTAAATAACTGTTGCTCAGCGAAGAGTTTTCTGCCAGCTGACATGAAGGAGAAACCACGACTGAGGCAGGATAGCTGCAGATTCTGCATTCAATCTTAAGAGCAGGGTTTGTTGGGTTTTTTTTTGCACATCTGCATTTTTTTTTCCCCAGGGGGTGAGGAGGAGCTGGGCTTTCATTGACTTTAACAATTTATATTTGATCCAAACAGTTTTCCAGGGGGAAATGCCTGCCTGTCAAGTATTTCATTACTACAGTCAGATCTCAAACTAATTACTTAATGGGAAGGTATGTTAACAATAACTTCTACTAAATGAAAACTTAACAGAAGTAGGCTAACAGAGAAGTTACTTGGCTAGCTACAACTGCTTGAATTACAGATTTTAATCAAATAACTTGAGTTATAGTGTGGTTTTCCTCTAATTATTTAGTTTCAGCACTTACCTTCAAGTTATTCATCTGCAGTTCAAAACTCTTTGCTCAAAAACTATGAGCAATAGTTTGCACAGCTCATTTAAGAGTTGAGCTGTCTGTATTCTACCTCTCCAGTTAAAAGGAAACGAATGCCCCAAGAACATTTAAAACGCGTTCCCATTCCACAAGCAGACGTTCCCCTCCCAAACCATCTGCTGCTGCTAAAAAGAAGTTTACTGGATGATCAGATGAAATCACAGAATTAACTCCACTGCTGAAGACTGCAGCTTTAGAGCACAGCCCTTATTACAGTCATCTTAAGTCTTTCCACATCTCCACCATTGCTAGCTGTGAAAGATATCAGTAATGCTGGGTTTTGTCTCTTTAGTTTTATAAGTCTCATTTTACCATTTCCACAATTTTCTTTCAAGTCTTTGTTTTTTTTCTGCTGGATACGTCAGTTCTCTTCAGGGTAAAAAAACCCAAGCATCTAACCTTGTACTCCTTTTCCTGAACCCTAAGCCTTTCTCTTTTGCTCACATTTCTCCATGTCCTCACGCATCCTTTTCAAAATTTCTACTAGTTGTCTTGGATTTTTCAATGCAGTCTTGAGCACTTACAGGCTGCTTAGCCACGAAGACAATAACACAAGAGGCACCATTAAGAACTAACCAGCCAGGAACACAACACCCTATGGCCATGCAAGAAGGGTTATTTACACTCTCCAAAGTGTGCACATGGAGGCGGGGGAGGGGCAGGAGGGAAAGAGGAAAGGCCACCATATGTACAACATTTCACACCTATTTTACGGGAGGCAGGGGAGAGAAAGACAGCCATGAAGCTACCGTGTCCCCTTTCAAGGGCAGAGCTTCCTCTTCCTTTCAGTGAAGTCTCTGTCCTTTCCCTCACCCCGAGGCAGCACGGATCTCCCTCCCAGGACTCCAGCATGCCCTGTGCTACCCCCTTGGAGAATGTGGAAGCCTCTCCCAGCTGCTGAGCTGCTCCATCCACCACTCCTCGTCAGCTGCCTCTCCACAGCACATACATCTGATTCCCAGACCCACCTCATGCTGTGTGGAGCAGCGAACAGAAGCAGCCGGCAGGCAGCAGAGGAGGAGACTGCTGAGCAGCTGCCTTCCTCGCAGTCCTGGGACACTGGCTAGGACAGCTGTTTTTATGATTTATTATATATTATTTATGGCTGATTGTAACATCGTATCATTATGACTGCATTCCAACAATTGTCTCCAAATATTTACGGGCAGAGCTACTTGCCATTAATTACTGAGTGGCTTTAAAAATAATTAAACCTCTGATATCTTGGCCACCTATTCATGCAGTACCAAAACCCCTAGAATGGTCCATTGATAGAGCCAGAGGCAAGCCATGGCAAATCCAAGGATCCCAAAAGGCACTTTTGCAGCTCAGTATACTAACATGCAGTCAAACGTGCTAAGCTACAGAGGGATCAAGATGTTTAAATGTTTCTAGCTTTTAACTGAAAAATAACGTGGAAGCAATATATTTTTCACTAAAACTCGGCAGATCAAAGCCTCAGTAAAATAGAACTTTTGTCTTACTTGAGATTTTATGTAAGCCTCAGAAAATTTGGTTTTAGACTATGATTCACATCTGCTGAATTCTATCGCACAAACTGCTGTCCCTTCACAAATTCCTTAAAATATACACTCCTTTTAGCAAGTTGCAAATATGGAAGATATAAGCTTAAATTAGAATTCCCACACGTGCTTTCCATTTCCCTCTCAAAAGAACCAACAAGAAATTAAAAAAGCAGTACTCAGTTTGTCCTGTTGCTATAATCATATTTCAGTCTATCCATAAAGCCATCCTGTAATAATTACTGTAAAAACATCAGCAAGCTACGTGAACCTTATTTTACCTTTAGCTTCTGTGTACCAAGAAAGTCACATAATGAGCAAAAGAACAGTGTAGTCAAGCAAGAACAACTGCTTTGAAGCCAGAGATCTCGTGCATACACAAATGCGTTTACAATCATGCAAAACATTTTTTTTTTATTCATCAGAAGCAGCTTACCTGAAGGACAGGCACTTTTTGTGGTGTGTTTTGTGGTGACTGGTGAAGCTGTGCCCAAGGCTGATGATGAGGATGTGGCGGTGGTGAAGACTGATGATGTATCCCTGGATGAGGCTGCATGGGAGGACAGGTTGGCATTTGCTGTTGAAAAGACTGCTGTTGACTAGGAAGCTGCTGGCCAGATATTAGTCGTTCTTGTATTGCTTGTGGATCCGCAAGGCCAACGCCTGGACAACCATTTGGTCTCATGTGCCCACCCATCTCCCGTGGTGTTGAAGACATACCCATAAAAGGACGATTCTGTTGCATGTTTCTGGGGCCCATATTCCTTTGTCCAATTCCCATGGCACCAGGGGGCTGGTGTGATGGCTGAGGATGGGGTATATTTGGATAACTGCCAACTTCCATTGGTATTCCAGCACTACCGGGCCTAACCTGTGGAGGAGGCGTACCTGCTGGATTACTCATTGCTTTCATAGGTGACATGGGAGGTGGAGAGGCATAAGTTCCCTGAGGCTGTGAAGGGTGCATAGTTTGCGTGTTCATTTGGTTAAGTGAGCCACTAGGGTGGATGGGTTGCTGGTGCATTAGTCCTTGACCACTGTTTGATGGAAATCCTACAGCATTTGGGTATCTTGGTACAGACTGATTCATTGGAGTGTTATTTGTAAGGCCTAAATTCTGATTCATCCCTGTATTATTAACTAATCCCTGATTAAGGTTACTGTAAGGATATCGAGAATACTGCCCTGAGTTGTTTATAGTAGGTGAGGGTACCGTCTGGCTCCGAGAACTAAAATTAAGTGTTTGCGGCCTAACAGCACCCTGCTGGGGAGGATTAGGGGAGAATCTAGGGCTGTGGGCTACTGATTCTCCATGGAGAGCAGTGGGGGGATGGTGGTGAAATTGCTGGACTGAATGTCGCAAAGAAGGTGCCATACTGGGATTCTGCTGGGGCACATGAGACAAGTGGCCAGGTCCTGAGGTGGCAATGAAAGGGTTTCCCTGATTGAGGCCTTCCTGGCCTTGAGAAAACTGGTTCATCCTCTGCTGTTGCGGCTGACCGTGCTGTTGCATTGAAAAATCACCACGAGCCATGTAGTTTCCCATCTGCTGCATGTGCTGAGGATGGCCCTGCCCGGGGGGTCCGGAGGGTGCTTGTGGCGGCTGTGTCGGTTGCGGCTGTTGCTGCTGCTGCTGGTATGGTGCTCTTATCTGGTCTGGCACTTGAACTGCCCGCGGCCCCCACATCGAGCCACTGTCTACGAAGGGTTGCCCGTGTCTTTCGTTCTGCATGCTGGGATAGACTCCCATCTGACCACTGGCACCGCTGCCATGAGGAACCTGAGGAACGGGAGGGTTGTGATACTGTGAATGAGGAGACGCTATACCATTCCCAGGGGCATTGCTTATCATTCTGTTCGGCTGATCCATCAGGTGCATTTTCTGCTGTTCGTATTGATTATAGTGATCAAAATGGGTCAACTTTGCTTGATTTTGATTTGCAGGAGGATGATGAAGAGATGACTGTAAAGAGGGAAATCCTTGATCCATGGGCATTTGCTGCCCCATGGGATTTACTGTGTTTTCAGGATATCCACATTCTCCGAGACCTTCCAGCCCTTCACTGAAAATATTCCCATCTTCTCCAAACAGACTCATCATTCCTGGATCTGCCATCTTTTTGCAGCACACAGCTCCTTGGAGCTACAACTAGAACGCTAGTCTGTGCTTCACCTCGGTGAGGTGTTTTGTCCTCAAAGCCTTTAATCCTCAACTAATCTCCTTCATGTCATTCCATATTTCCTTAATTCTTTTGGACCACGCAGTGTCAGGCAAAGTCTGGTTACTGCTCCTAGAAGCGGGGGAAGGGAGAGAAAGAAAGGAAAATATTGAAATAAGGAACATCGGGCAACGTAAAGAAAACACAGTTGACTGTTTTCTGTACAATGACAGCTAGTTTCAGCCCCTGAAACACATCTTAAAAATCTATTTCACTTTAAGAAGCTTGCATCGTCTTTATCAGAAGCTTTATTATGATAGGGAGCTCGGAAGCAAGCAAAACACTACCCTTAACCTTAAATTAATCCACTCACTACACATCCTAGCGTTCCTTTCTTGGGTGGAATAGAACAAAAGAACACAACATGCAGCAGCAGCAGCTGCCACAGCAGGTAGGCAGATGCATGAATATAGCCAAGCAGCCCATCTGCCGAACTAAAGCCCTGAAAACGCTCTAGTTACCAACAGCATGTCCTTAACCTTATTCCCTTGAGCTGCGTAATCAGATGAGCAAGCAGAAGCACCGAGTCCTGCGACAGACTAAAGTTAGTCATACGGAGAACAGATTTCTCAAACACACAGAGGTGACCCTTGAAAATATACAAAACTCCAAGACCCAACTTAATGCTTAGGAGAAAAATACATATGTTTAGCTGTTTTTTGTTTTGTTTTGTTTCTTTAATATATCATTTATCTTAATTTAACAAAATTACAAACTGAAAGATAACTTGACGTGTCCACCCATTTCAGCGGAACTATTAGATTCTTCATTTTATGACACTGAACCCATGCCATAATTTCCTTAACACCATCACCACCCTTCATTAGGCATCTTCAAGTAATCATGAGACTAACAGCAACCATGGCAATACAGAAGACCACACTAAAGTTTTGTTCTGCCCATATTTACTACCTGTATAACTCGTGAAGGAGAATTAGCTACGGCAAGAGAAGTTAAATAGTAAAACGGTTTGCACTTGGACTTGGGGGGGGAGGGGGCGGGAAATGCTCTAACGCATTTTAACAGAACAGCTTCAGAGAATTTCCAGGTTAGTTTTTTCACAGGAAGCCTGGCGTGTGCTGAAATGCCTCCTTTTCCCCACAGCTATTCTGTTTGAGCCATAAAAAGCAAACTCAGACTAGTCAGTCTAACACTATCCTTCCTTTCTAGAACAAGAATTTTAAATGCTATGGCTATAGAAATAAACTTGAAGCTGGTAGACAACAAAGCCCAACCACACAGCAAATAAAAATGAAAAAACTACTGCTGCTGTTGTCTTTATTTAGTAGAAACAGTACTTGCAGACATTGACTTGCCCTTAATAATCAGCAACCACACAAAACCAGGTTTACCTACATGTACATTCACATCTCACATTTTGTTGCAGAAAAGCGATGCTTTCTGCCACTTTGGATGCAAAGTGCCAAGCTGGACTATTTCAACTGCAGGCAATTTGTCCCAAACAAGTTTTAGGGAGAAAATATCAGCACACTCATTACACTTCTTGCAATCATTGTCAAGAGGAGCTTCTACAGCATGAAGCAGAGGGCACAAGGAAAAGCACAAGCATTTATCACTCCTCTTAAAATAGCATTTGAATGTCACCTTTAAAACTACACTCTTAAATCTCTTTAGTGCTCAGCTGGGATATTAACACTTATATTTCTAAATCACTTGAGGGTAAATTCCTATGAGCCACCTTCATGTCTCTTAATAACTATTTCTTTTGATTTCATTTCCTTTATTAAGCAAAAGCCATCTGTAGCATTTCTCACCTCAATCAGTTCATTAAAATATAGCATAAGAAAGCTCCAACAAAGCAAGAAAGAGCTTCCTTCACCGAAGCGAGCTTCACGTGTTAGAGTACTCCAGAGCAAGGCATTCGGTCATGAAAATCCCTGCAGCGATTCAGGATCGCCCAAAGACTTGTGACACTGCATGCTGCAGTCAGGAGCATTCACATTCACAGAATTCTACATTCACAGAATTCTGGATAGGTAAGAATGTGCGCCGATTTTTTTAGGTAAGGTACTCAAATGACCACTCAAAGGTAGACATGCTGTACCCTCCTGAAAGTCTAATGAAGTTTTGCAAAACAACCAAATTCCACAAGAATTCTCACTTTGCTATTTGTCACAGATAAGCTAACAGCATCTCCAGAAACACAATTACACAAATAAGACACACATTTGAATTTGCTTTGCTTACTGTTTGTCAGTTGACAGGCTTCCAATAAAACTCAGGCTCTAGTCAGCCACCAACAGTCAACATCAGCAAACAGTAGTTAGGGCCAGCTACTATACCCACAAAACCAACTCAAAGTAGGGTAAGGGTTGTGTTTAAACAAACACACCTCAACTCTGCCCAGCTGACTCCAACACAGCTTGCAGATCTGCACTAAAACCTGTATGGAAGGAGATGTGTTCTAGGTTCCACAGCACGCCTGCTTTCCTCAACACAGGGTCTTTAAAAAGAAAAGCAACTTCTTATGGTGCATTGTGTATGCAAACAAATCCATCATCTAAATTAAGAGTGAAAACACTGTTTGCCACTATTTATGATTTCAGCTCGGCATTTTTATCTGAAGTGTGAATTGGTTTCATGCTTGTGCTGTTAATGCTAAAGCTATTAGGTTTAGAACACAGCATGAGAATGCTCGCACGAGAAGTTGTCTCCAAGCCATAGCAGTATTTCTTCATTTAAGTTTGGCTTTAGATTTATGGCTGCAGTCCTTTACAGTCAGCTGTGCTCTCACCAAACCTTGTTCTACTTCTCCAAATAAAAAAGTCACCCCTCTGATGTGATATACGACTAACAGCGCGTGTTTAAGAATGAACAACAGTAGCAGCTACTTTCTGATCAAAACAAGTTAACCTCCTTTTGATAAGAAAACAGTCAATGCTAGAATTTCCTAGTAAGCTCTCAACCTTTTATGTTAACAGGATAGATGCCTTCTAGATAGTTAAGCAAGTCACAAGAGTCACAGCCTTATCATAAGTTACGATCATTTCTTCTCTTTTTCCACTGTAAGCAATGTTATTTTCCAGTTTAAATCCTCCCGGCTCAAAAATAAAAAAGCAACCACACTACAGATGTACACAAAGGTAAGTCCTTTACCAAGGTGTAATTCTAGCTAACATAAGTCCCTAGAAAAATCTTTGGGAGGAAGTTTATCATTCAGAGGGTGGTGACGCACTGGAACAGGTTGCCCAAGGAGGCTGTGGATGCCCCATCCCTGGAGGCATTCAAGTCCAGGCTGGATGTGGCTCTGGGCAGCCTGGTCTGGTGGTCAGTGATCTTGCACATGGCAGGGGGTGAAACTCGATGATCTTTGAGGTCTTTTTCAACCCAGGCCATTCTACGATTCTAAACAGTACAGTTCATTTTCCCATGAAAGTAAGCATACTAACATCAAGACTGGATCGAGACTGACTACCACATAAGCTGGTGGGATGGCATAGGATTTTTTGTTTGTTTGGTGGGTTTTGTTGTTGTTAATTACACAGTTTAAAAATATAGATTCATGCATTATCTTCTCAACTATCCTGTAAGTTAAAATCAACAGAAATTCACAAAGCAACGTTCGCTTTCTGGGTGTGAAGGAAAGACCATCTGAATCAGGTATACTGGTGAATATGAATGCATAACACGATAGCTAAAAAGAAAATCTTGACCAAACTCACAGATTTTGCTATGAAATTCTATAGCTTTTCTGTTCCTGAATATGAGAGTTTGCATCAACCCAACTGAACTCAGAGAATATATTTCCTTAATGCTGCCCAGACAACCTACTTCTATTCAAAGTGATTGTATGATCCCAATCACCAGGACACAGCCGATTGCTTAACAACCCTGTTGTCTCAGCAGACAAAGCTTACATTTACTCTAGTCCACAGCATTCCAAGTCCTAAACACCCAGACTTCACATTTAAGTCACAGTTAACCATAGCTTGACTTTGTATTTCAGAGCCCTGCAGCCTTAGGCAGCTTCCCACTTTTACGAGTGGAACAAAACTGGCTGCTGCATAATCATAACCTGATCGAGTGCTGAGGACACTAAAACCTGAATTTCATTAGCCTTGTTCCCAAGGCAGAAAGCAGCAGGTCCCAGCTCTCAAGAACAGGAAGCGACAAGGGCAGCATACAGACACGCCTGCCTTCCACAACGCCATCTGCACATTCTGTTCAGGCTATTTGCAAACGGGAAGGTCCCTCTATATCCTTCTATACAAGAGATTTAACACCATTTCTGGATAGTCAAAAAGCAAGTAATCAGGATAAACAGAATGCGTAAAGGCAGCTAATACTGGCTGCTCAGAGTTCTTCCAAGTGAGGCACGTCATTCACCGCTAATACATTTACAGCTATCAGTGGTATCTCAGACAGAACTCCTAAGTGCTTGACAGACACAGGATTTTTTTTATACAGTGCAAGTACGTATCCATAACACAAGATAATAAACGCTGAAAACAACATGCTGTTTTGAAGAATTAGGCCAAAAAGACCTCTTATGCTAAACACCAAAGCCATGCCAAAGGTCATTTTGAGACTGGAGCCTCAAAATGTAGGATTAAACATTAGGCTACTAAATCTGCATTTAAATATTTCATATTTAAACTGCTTTTCAAAACCACTAAGCTCCCACTGGCTGTTAGGGGTAGTAATTTAAGTATTTGTTGCACAGGAGTAGGTGGCAGAAATAACAGTAACCAAAGAGATCACCTTATGTTTGGAGGAAAGCATTCACCTAAAACTTCATGAATATGTAAAACATCCTGATAACTCCGTAAAAATTATGCTGAAAAATGACAGTTGTGGAAGACAGCTGATGAGACTTCTACCTTTCAGCTCATCTACCTATGGAGCGAGCGGCACTTCTGCCTGGACAGTTATGCAAGTGGTGAAATACGCACATGGGAAACACACCTGGTCTCCTGCTTGCTTAATGTTTAGTTCTCACTCTATCACAGACAGCTCTCCACGCATGGTACATTCCTCTGGCATATAGATAAGACAAAAAAAAAAAAAAAAAAAGCAGATCTGTAAACTGATTACAATGATTTTTGACTGTA